CGGCGGGAAGTTGTTCCAGAGGCCCTCCTCCTTCCTTCGCATCGTGATAAGTTTTACGATCCTGTGTGTTGACGCCACCGTCCCACTTGTACATCGTTATTGCTGCTGGGTGTGGGGCGGCCGTGTCAAAGATTCGGACATGCGCTGTGTGTGGGAGCAGGCCTCTAAAAGCTCTCTTGGCGGCCCCGCATCGGTCTAGAGTTAGAGGGCCAGTCGGAGCCGCCATGCTCTCACTGCAGCGAGTTGGATGGAAACTTGTTGGGCCCCATCACATCAGGACGGGCCAGAATGATGTTCTCTCTTTGTTGCGCACGTCCCCCTCAGATGTGCGTTGTTTGCTGCGCGAAGGAATTAGCAGAGCCCTGGGGGTCCAGCTGGTGTCGAGTCTCCCCGAGGCCCAGGGGCATGAGGTCGTCTGGGTCAGGGCTCTTCGGCTGGGGTTCCAGAGGCTTCAAGGGGCCCGCAGGGCGTGTCTCAGGGCCCCCTGGTCAGGGGCTATGTGGCCCCCAGCCCGCAAGTTTCAGCACGGCTACGCGTCTAGCAGCAAGTGTGACTTCTGCGATCATCCGCCGGGGACTTCCGGCCATCAGTTTTACGAGTGCGAAGGGCTGTGGGCGGCGAGTGACGACCCAGATGCGAGCCCTGCTATGCCAGACTCGTGCTTCGAGCATAGGAAGTGGCTAAAAGAGCAGGCGTATGGGATCCCTCCCGACTTCGACACTCCTGAGTTGGTTTACGGTTTGCCCTCTCTCCCTGTCGAGATCCCTGCGGTCGCTGCTCAGACGAAGGTCTTTTCCTGGGGTGCTGAGTCTGCACCTTGGGGCTTTCGTTTGTACACCGACGGGAGTGGCCTGGCGTCGGGAACCCCAGAGGCCACGCGATGTGACTGGTCGGTCGTGGCCCTCTCTCCTGGGGGATGGCCTGTGAAGGCCGAGTTTGGGGCCCTCGCGGGGCCTGTGCAGACGGTCCCGAGGGCCGAACGCCAGGCTATCCTCCATGCTTTGAAGGTTGGGCCATGGGGCCTTGAAGTTGTATCGGGCCATCTGTCGGCGGTCAAGGAGGGGAACTCTTGGGACCCTGGATTGGCCGCTGGCGGAGGCACACATGCCTCGGTCTGGAGGCAAGTTTTTGATTTGTATCGTGGCAGGTCTGAGCGGCCAGTATTCCGCTGGACCCCAGCCCATCAGGATGTGTTCACGGTCCTTGAGGGCCAGGCGTTCTCCTGGGAAGTCGTTGGTCGTAGTGTCGTCGATTGCATTGGGAACGCCTGGGCCGACTTCTTTGCGCGGCTAGGGGCGAGTGAACACCAGTTGCCAGAGCTGGTCACCTCGCTGCTGCGTGAGAGGCTCAAGGATTGCCACAGGACGCTGGATTTCCTTTCGCGGGCTGCGCAGCATGCTGCTGCCTCAGCCCCAGACCTTCCCGCGCCCGTGCGGGTGAGAGGGGGCGGTATCCCCAAACTCGCTTTGCTTTCTCACGATTTGGAGCTGGTGGAGGGGGTCTCTGAGGCGGCGAGGTGCACGTGGTGTCACTGCTCGGCGCGGACGGCCTTGAGCAGGAAGAAGCTCGAGCAGCCTGGCGCGAGGCGCGCCCCGTCTCCCCTCCAGTTGTTTCTCTCAGCCGTGCGCGCCTGGCGGCGTGGAGGCGTCCTTCCTAGGGCGCGATGTGCCGCCGTCCTGGATACCCTCAGGGCGCTGGGGCTCGAGGCCTCCGCTGAGGCCCCGATGGGGCCTCCAGACACCTTCGTCTGTGAGGGCCATGTCGTGCAGGCTTCTGGCCGCTACTTGTTATGCCGCCGCTGTGCGGCGCACTGTCTGATTGAAGCGCCGAGCGGGCGAAAGCTTCTCGCCCCGTGCTCTGGCGCTGCGCCCTCGGGCCAAGACTGGTTCAGGGACGAGGCGCTGGCTGGTCGTGAGCCGCGCCCACCGCCCGCTCCTGCGCAGCGCCGTCGCCTAGCGGCGGCACTGCGCTGGATTGGGTGTTGGGTGCGGCTCGGCGCGCCCGTGCGCGCTTTTAAGGGCGTGTGCGGGACTTGCCTGCACTGCCCTCTCCCCGAGGCTCGGCCTCATCCATGTCTTTTCGGCTAGTTTCCGTCCCCGGATGCTAGACCTTGATTGTCCCTTGTCCCTCGCCGTGTCGGGACCCCTTCGAGGAGGACGAGGAGGTCGCCGAGGCTTTCTTTGGATCCCCCCCCCCACACACACCAGAGGGAGCGAGCGCGCCCGCGACGGACGGGGAGCAGGCCCCAACGCCGCGGGCGAGGTGGAGGCCGCCCGCGGTTCCTCCTCTGCCCTCCCCCCCCCCTCTCTGAGGAGCAGCTGGTCAGAATAGCGGCCAACAGGGCCATCGCGAGGGAACGGCGACGACAGCGCGTGGCCCCGTGAAGAGGTCGACTCGAATTCAAGGTTTGATGTGTAAAGGTTCTTTCTCAGAGGCAGCTTGAGCACAGCTGTAACGCTTAAGCCAACGTGCACCACCACCGCCGCCTCCTCCTCCTCCTCGTCCTCCTCGTCCTCTTCGTCTTCCTCGTCCTTCTCCTCCTCCTCCTCCTCCTCCTCGTCCTCCTCGTCCTCTTTGTCTTCCTCCTCGTCCTCCTCGTCTTCCTCCTCGTCCTCCACCTCGTCCTCCTCGTCCTCCTCCTCCTCCTCGTCCCCCTTGTCCTCTTCGTCCTCCTCGTTTTCCTCGTCCTCCTCCTCCTCCTCCTCCACCTCCTTTTCCTCCTCCGGCGATCGAATGTGAACGCTTGCCAAACAGGCGATGCGCTTGGAGAATATTGCCCGCAAGCTGCTCCTGGCCAACAATAGCTTCAACCAAGGGCAGAAATCCCTGATCCACAACATTATCACAGTCGGCACACAGGTCGGTCGGGGCCCCCGCAAACAAGGCACTCCAAACAACAGCGCCGAACTCAGCACGTTGGGCCGTTGGCGGGCAAGGCGCCCACAAGGGCCCCGAAACCTGGCCTAAAAAGCTCACCGCAATCAGAAAAACCGTGGCAAGGCCCCATGAGCCCCGAGAGAGCTCTCCAACTACATGCCATGACACGAGTCATCAATCAAAACGCGGCCCCAAAGGCTCTGACCACACGGCATTTGGCAGGAGGAGGGCGAGGGAGAGAGGAGCAGATCCACGCGCCACCTGACCTCGACCCCACTTTCCCGCAACGGACCAGGGACCACATCTCCAGGGTGGCGGAGGTCCCCATGCATGAAGAAGCACCGATCGCAGTCAGGATAGTCCACCTCACGAGCAAGCTGTTGTATCCAATCAGGAACTAGCTCATCGCGCAACTCTGAACTCGTGGACATGTTCATAAACGACGGCGCAAGGAATCGAGACAGCGGCGAAAAGGGCAAGCGGGCGACATCTCTAGGTAACCCGCGTCCACGGCGTCCACCGCCGTCCAGATCCCGTTACAAGCCAAGGTTTTCATGATGCCCTTGTCCTACTTCGATAAATGTTGAAGACCTGAGACAGTGCTTAACCACGTCCCAGCAAATCCTCTTGCCGTGATCAAACCTCAGCCCAAAGTCCCGCTCAAGGCTGCTGAAAACCGCGCCCCGAAGCAGAGACCGAACCATCTGCGGAGAGTTTAGCGCAATCGAGAAAACACGCCACATGTCATATTTAAACTAACAAGAAACAGGCATCGTCCAACCAATACGGTACATGGATACGGAGGGCACTCAAGGGACCTGAAACTCTGGTCCAGGACAGGTCCAACACCAAAATTCGTTCCACACCCCTCACGTAACTCCTGAAACGACAAACACCAATCGAAAGCGCGGGCGTGCCTGAGCCAGACCTCTCGACCCCAGAGGAGGACGGGGGCCACGGTGGCCCTCCAGGAGGGACCCCCTTCGAATAGAGACAACGCGGCCAACGACCTCCCACGCGCCCTGGGACGGCTGCGCCGCGCGGCGCGACCATGGAGCGTTGGGGAAGGCATACATGGAGAGTCGAACCTGTAAGGCCAGACGCTCGAACAGGAATCGTGCGAGAAACAAACCAATGCCAATCTGGCCCGCAACAGCAATGCCGTTTTGAAGTTCGTTGTTGCAAGTTCCTCGTCCGCAGACTTCGGAACCAGAGCGGCTTCCTCCTCCTCCTCCTCATCATCATCATCCTCCTCCTCTTCCTCCACCTCCTCCCCTTCCTCCTCAACCATTTTTCCTTATGGGCAACTTCTCCCTGTCCGAAACCAGTGTTCGCGGCAGGCCGGACGTTTCGCCTGAGACTTCCTCACCGCTTATGACTCTGAAGTTACAATTCACAACAACTTCATAGATGGAGGGCGGGGGGGGTTCAAACTGTGGCTCTCGCCTTAGCGCCGCGCGCATTCGTTTTAAACATTTGCAAAAGCTTCACGGCTTGAGGATAACACGTTTTCAACATGTGGCTCTCGCCTTTAGCGCCGCGCACATTCGTTTTACAAAAATTGCAACAGTTTCACGGATTGAGGGCGGTTCCTTCTCAACATGTGGCTACCGCCGTAGCACCGCGCACATTCGTCTCACAAAAATTGGCAACCGTTTCACAGATGGAAGGCGGGTGGTTTTCAACATGTGGCTCTCGTCTTTAGCGCCGCGCACATTCGCGTTACAAAAATTGTAAGAATTTGACGGGTTCCCACGATCAACGTACCAGAAATTGCGTTTTGGGCGGATTCCGGATTTTGCGGGCGCAACAATTACGTCGATTCGCGGTGTTGAAATCTCAAGAGTGGCTTTCTGGCACCATCCAAAATCGTCAAGACGCAACAGTCAGATTGATCCGTGGCGTTGGAATCCCGAGAACAATGTTTTGGCATGCTTCCGGGTCTTCAAACAGTTGTCTTCCAACAAGGCAGATCCCTCAATGGAAATGAACCGTTGTAAGGGGCTATGAAGAGAGAGCTTCGAGGGGGTTATTCCAAAATCGTTGATGGCTCTTGGGTTTACAGTGGTCCTCCTCCTCCTCCTCCTCCTCCTCCTCCTCCTCCTCCCTCTCTCCTCCTCCCCCTGCCGGAGCAGCAGAAGCACGAGCGTCACGTCCCCCCTCTCGGCCGCCAGGGACAGCGGGCAGCACAGTCGCGACAGCGGCCAGCGGCTCTCTCTGTGGCAGTGGTCGATGCCGGAGAAGCGGTGCTCCTCACGGGCGGCGAACATATCCATAACCACGCGAGGAGGAGGAGGAGGAGGAGGAGGAAGAAGAGCAGGAAGGGGGTCACGATTCGGGAGGCGGATCCCGTGGATACGCGGTCGTATGGATACGTTCCGTGCAGGGCAACCGCGACAAAAACGTCCCGTAACCACGGGGTGGCGGCCGAGGGACCCAACCGGCGAGGCCGAGGATACGGATATGTTTTCCGGCCGCGAGCTCCTGTAGAAACTTTCTCACGGCCCCCTCCTCCACGCTTCGCACCATGCCCTCGAACCTGGAGCTGCAGGATGTGCGGTGCGAAAGGCTCAGCGCAGTCGTCGACATCTCATGGATCCGCGACCGCAGCCGTGACGAGCTCGAATCCATCGTTGACATCAGGGCCATGACCGAAGGGCTCCTCCTGGACGGCGCCTCCCGCGGCGGCGTCGGCCTCGACCCCGCTGGCTTCGACGGCGACGTCTGCTGGAGTGGTGACACTGGCTCCGACAGGGCATGTTCAGGCAGTGGGGCTCGGAGCTGGACGCCGTCACCCACGAGCTCTTCTGGAGCGGACTCGGGCGCGGGCGCGCAACAGAGGTGGAACCGCCAGGAGGTGACCCCCGACCAGGCTGTCGACATGGTGGCCAGCGGCGTCAGCCATGGTGCCATCGTGCTCGCAGCCGTGGGCGTGGCACAAAATGAGTCGCGGAGGTCTGCGCGGCCAGCCTGCGGCGAATCTGCCTCGTCCTCGCACAAGACCCGCGACATGGGAGTGAAGTCCGCAAGGGTGGAACGACCGCTGCCGTAGCCGAGGAAGCTGGCGAAAGCGAGCACAGCGGCGCTCCTGAGCCATCATGGCCATGGTACTTGCACTCAGGGGCTCATAACTTCAGCTGTTGGGTGGTTGGGTGGGTTCTCCAAGGTCTCGCACGGCCTGCCATCGCTCGGACGTCCATTTTCCCGTGCATTCTTGTCCGCTTCGTGCGCCTTCTCTTGTCGCAAGATGAACCAGGATGCTCCTCGATGGCCCTCGCAAGGAAAAAACGCACACGCCCGAGCGATGCCAAGAAGGTGGCCGCCCGTGGCCGCATCCTGGCCGCCCAGCGCGCCGGCTACCGCTACCCTTCGCCAGTACTTGCCTTTTTAGGCCTCATGGGAGGCCCTCTTCATCACGGCTGGACCGGCTGGAGTCGCCTCGAAATTCTGGTCCGAACGCACCCAGATCCAGAAAATGGCAGCATCGGTTCCGTTTGTTCCCCCCAAAACGGAAGAGGAGGAGGAGGAGGAGGAGGAGGAGGAGGAGGAGGCGGAGGAGGAGGTTGCGGAGGAGGAGGAGGGGGAGGAGGAGGAGGAGGACGGAGAAGGAGGAGAGACGAGGAGAAGAGGGAAGAAGAGGAGGATGAAGAGGAGGAGGACGAGGAGGACGAGGAGGACAAGGAGGAAGAGAAGAAGGATGAAGAGGAGGAGGCGGAGGAGGAGAAGGAGGAAGACAAGAATGATGAAGAGAAGGAGGACGAGGAAGAGGAGGAGAGAGGAGGAGGAGGAGGAGGAGGAGGAGGAGGCGGAGAAGGAGGAGGCGGAGGGAGGAGGGGAGGAGGAGAAGGAGGAGGAGGAGAGGAGGAGAAGAGGAGGAGACGAGGAGGAGGAGGAGGAGGAGAAAGAGGAGGAGAAGGAGGAGGAGGAGGGAGAAGAGGAGGATGAAGAGGAGGAGGACGAGGAGGAGACGGAGGAGGAGGAGGAAGTGGAGGAGGAGGCGGGGGAGGAGGGGAAGGAGGAGAAGGAGGAGGGGGAGAAGGAGGAGGAGGAGGAGGAGGACGAGGAGGAGGTGGTGGAGGAGGTGGGGAGGAGGGGAAGGAGGAAAAGGAGGAGGGGGGGAGGAGGAAGGGGGAGGAGGAGGAGGAGGAGGAGGAGGAGGAGGAGGAGGAGGAGAAGGAGGAGGACGAGGAGGACGAGGAAGAGGAGGACGAGGAGGAGAGGGAAGAAGAGGAGGAGGAGAAGGAGAAGGAGGAGGAGGAGGAGAAGAAGGAGGAGAAGGAAGAGGAGAAGGATGAAGAGGAGGAGGAGGAGCAGGAGGAGGAGGAGGAGGAGGAAGAGGACGAGGACGAGGAGGAGGAGGGGGAGTGCGAGCTTTCCCAAGGGCTTTCCCAAACTGACAGAGTCAGAGCTGCAGGAGGACTTCAAAGAATGGCCTCGCTGAAGGCGCGGACGCGAAGCGGGGCGGCCCGCCACCCACTGCCACACGTGCTCGGTGGAGCCACCAGGGCCAAAACCCACCTAGCAGGCGCAGCAATCGGGGCGGGGTTCCGTATGGCGCCCCCGGGGCCGTCCTATCTGAGAGGACGGCCTTCCGTTACACGTGAAATTACCCAGGCCCCCATTTTGGCGGGGGGGCTGTCCATCTCGACACTTACACTCCTCCGCAAGGCCTCGAAGATGGCCTCTCCCTCCAAGAGCTCTGCAACCGCATGCCATACAAACCCAGTCAAGCTCAAAATAAGCGAGGCTATGGGACGGGCGACCGATCCGCGTGCCCATGGTCAGATGCTGGGCCTGTGCTGGCTGGGGCAGCTCTTGGGGGGGCCCAGGGCATGTGGAGGTCAACCAAACGTTCAAATCTTTGCTGCTAGCAGTTTTGCGGAGAGACGTAATACAACAAGTACAGGGCCACCGCGATTTCATTTCAGTTAAAAGGTGGGTGGTCTTATCCTGGGCCTGGGCGAGGGCGTTGGGCTTAGATCTTCTCTGAGCCCTTCTTACCTGTTTCACCGTGGGGCCTGACACTTCATTACCAAAAGCGTTGAGCGTAGCTCTGTAAATACGGCTTCTAATCCTACACCCTGTGGCGGCGGCCCATTTATAACAACTCAGTCGTGCTGCTGGGACGCTATGCTGCTCAGTTTGTTTTCCTGCAAGGTCGTCTGCTACTGCATGTCCCATCCAGGCCGCGATGGGCACTCCCCTGGCTTCGGCCTCGGCGGCCGTCTGGCGGCTGTGCATGAAATAGATTTGCGTTGTCGGGCGGACCCGCACAGGGCCATATATGCAAAATGATTTAGCCGTGCCAGAAATATGTCAAACATGTGTTTTCCGAGATACGGAAAATTAGTCAGCAGGATTCTGCCTTTTCAAGCCACCTTCTCTACTAAGCACAACTCACCTTTTACAAAACCATCAGAATACGGAGGACGCGCACGCGCTTCGCATTGTGTGAGCGTCTGAACTGGGTGGTTGTACGCACCAGGAGTAAGTTGCAGGAGTGATGGGCGCTCGCGCTGGACATTGCCGTGGTCGTTACAACGCCGTTGCCCGAAAATTCGGGCAGCGCCTGCTGTTTTCGCTGACGTCATGTCTTCGTCCTGCCTTGAACGAGAGACCGTCTGCGCCGAATCTTAGACGACAGTGCAATGGCTCACGCACTAGCGCCGCTGCCAAGGGGTGCACGGTGGACCGCGCGCCCCGCGCAAGCCGCGGCGCGCGCTAGCCGCCCGTGGACCCGCGCGCTTGCCTCCAAAGGCATCGCTGATTGGATCCTTGGGGGGGGTCGCAGTGGGCGTCACTTGCCGCAGAAGCAAGGCCGCCGCAGCTCGCGACAGGCCCAAGGTACACAAAATTGCTCAGCGTACGGATGCTCAAGCAATAAGCAGTCCCCTCTCGCGGTTTCTATCGCGGGGCCATGCGCGCGAATGACAATTGTGCCTCGGCGCTCCCATTCTAACCCGCCCCCCGCGCCATGTCGAACAGGCGAGGATCAACGCGGGCCCGCGCCACTCTGCTGTTTGACCCCCAGCCCGATGCTGAAACACAATGTCACGACAGCGCGACTGATGCGACAACTCCCACAGAAGCACGCGAGTCCCCGCGAAAGCGTGCCCACCCTCGCGCAGGCCGAACCGGTCGCACCTGGCTGCGCCAAACCCGGACAGGCCCTGCGAGGCAGGGCCCCGAGAGGGCCCCAAGAGACCCAGAGAGGGGCCCCCTGCGGTCAAGATGGCGGCCCTCGTCCTTGACAGCAGGGAGGCCCCTTTAGGAGCGCTCCCAAGGCCCTCCAGGAGCTCTGGGAGGTGCCTTTTGGGGCCAAGCGCCGCTTATATAGGGCCCCGAGGGGAGCTAGCTCTTTGGAGTTCTCTTGGCCTCATGGGGCCCGCCAGTGGCCTCCGCGACGGGGTGGGGGGGCATGGGGGAACCCTGGCGGGCCCCGAAAGCGCCCCCGAATCACGCAATGCGCGCGGGGCAATCTTGGGCCCCCGCGCGGGCCCCTTGCGGCGCTCATGGGATCTGCTCGCGGCAATCTTAGACCAGTCTGGGGGCTCCTCGGGCCCTCCAAGGCTCTGAATACGGCGCCGGCGAATGCGGGCGCGCGCGTTTTGCAAAACAGCCCGGATGCAAATTCCCCCGGCTGCCAGGCCGCTGCGTGTTCAAAACTCCTATATTCCGACTTTTGAAATAACGATCGGTGTTGTAAAACACATATATTACAATTTTTGCAAACTGCCCAACCTACGACATGGCATACCAACGTAATATCAATTGTAACAATAAAATATGTGTATCACTGCGTTGTGAAATGCAAAACCCATTACATATAAATACGTTTTGTAAAACGCGATTCCGAAATCCTGAAATACAAAAATAATGCCAACAAGAAACCCAACGCATGCACTTAAATTCAGGGCGTCTCCGGGCACTCCTGGTTGCGCTCGGCGCGCGCGCGCCCCTAGTCGTTGTCGGCCCTCACCCGGGCGCCGGTCGCGCCCGGCCCCTGCCAAATGATGACGGGGCCCTTCAGGACAACCGCGCCTACCCTACCGCCGCCCACAAGGACAACGCTCACTCATCCGCGCTACGCCGCCCCCCACCCACCCCGCACGTCGCCCCCCCCATCCCCCGAACGGCCTGAGAGGGGCCGGAAAATCACTTCTAGATCCGCGCAACACTAGCTCAAAACAAAGCCAACGGGCCTCATCCCCCCGGGGCCCTGCAGGACCCCTCTCGGGGCCTTCCCCAAGCCCCTGGACGGCTCAAGAGGCCCCCAAAAGGGCCAGAAAAGGACCTAAGATTGCGCCCAGAGGCCCACAAAAAGAGGCACATTCGTGCACATACTTTGCGCCTCTTCGGAGGGGCCCTCTTGGAGCGCTCTTGGAGCCCTCTTGGAATCTTCCCGGGCCTCTTGGGCCCTTCTTCTTGAGGCCCCGCCGAAACCCCCCCGAAGTTCCGAATGAACCCCCAGAGAGTTCAACGAGGCTCCAAGAGGCCCAAGGAGCGGCCCAAGAGGGCCCAAAGTGGAGAACCCCCCCAGTGGCACCCAAGAGGGCCCCTAGGTGCCACTGTCGGGAGCCCTTCTTTGGACACTCTCGGGCCCTTCTTGGGCCCTTCTGGGACGCCTCCCGGGCCCCCTGCGACGCGCCGCCGAAGTCCCGGACAAGCCCCGAGAAGGCGCAAACGCAGCCAGGGTCTCTGAACCCAGAGGGGCCCCCTCCCCCGGGCGGCCCATTTGGAACACTCTCGGGCCGTCTGGGGGCCCATTCCGAATTTCTGGGAGGTTCGGGAAGGCCCCCGAGAGGAGAGGGCCCCGGGAGGATGGATCCCCTTGGCGGGTGGCCTGTCGAACTTCCCTTCTGGCCCTTCTGGAGCCCTTTGGCAAGGGCCCCCGCGAGGAGGGCCGGCGTCGACGCGTTTCCCCGGGCCAACCTGGATCTGCCCAGCAAACCAATCGGCGGCGGCGCAACGCCCGTATACAAACAAAACTGCATTGGAGCGGCATGCCAAATAGCTCTCGGCTCGCGAAGGATCAGTAGCACGCCCCTCACATGCGAGAGACACACCAACTAATGTATACAACAATTGTGCGCACAACACATATGTTTGTCTGCGCATATTGTTGGTAATTTTCGCGTATTCATGAAAACGTTATGTTTGGTACTATTCCGCAA